AATCTCGCAACAGAGCTCTATAGCTGTGTGCTTTGTTACTTGTGCTATATTAAGAAGGCTACAGTCCACTTGTAACACTACTATAAAGTATATAAGGATCGAGTTAAGAATATTAAATATATAAATAAAATTGATAACCAATTAGCAAGAATATTGGTATATAATAAGATAAAAACACTTCTTCCAGATGTCAATAATGTAAATTTGCATCAAAGAATATTCAGAGTGAAAAAAATTTATACATTACTTATAGGAATAGAACTAGAAAAAGTTCAAGCAATAACATATAGTGCAAGCACAATTTCGAGTCTAACTGACAATCAGATTCAAGATATTATAAACTGTTTTTCTAAAAATTTGAATATAGATGATTCTTTTATTAAATATCAAGAAATGATCAGCGTTACAAATTATAACATACATATAACCAAATCATCAAACTCAAATAATGTATCAAATATTAAGATAAGTATACCTATTGAATTGTCTTATAGCTCTAATTCAGAAAATGTAATAAATGAGAAAATTAAATATTTACCAAAGATTAAAGCAAGTGTACTGTCTAATCCAACTCATGATTATGCTTATTTTCATAATAAAACATTGGATCAATATCCTAATTTATATCAAGAAGGTAGTGATAGAAACAATGTTTATTATAGAATTACTAATGATTTTTTATACCTACTATACAAATTAGATCATGATAATGATAATAGTATAGAAGACAGATATGAAATTAGATCCTACTATATTAAATGTGAACAGCATAGAATTGAAATTGAGATAACAGTATAAACTTTAAACTTATACTAACACAATTCACTTAAGTCTTCTAAGGCATATTTATTTTTTTGTTTGTTATTATTAATTTAAAGAGATATAAGATCATATAAATAATAACATAAATATGCAGACAATGGCCAATAAAACATTAACCCCTGAATATTTGGAGTGGAAAGCTAAATTAAAAGAACTGTCAAGCCCTTTGACAGATAATATTTGTTCTAGATTATATCAAAGATACAAGAAAAAAACTAGGCTTGTTCTCTGGATAATGTCTGAAACCTTTAAGTCTCTACAAATCAAAAAGGATGCTGAAAAAAAGACGTTATTTGTACTACAAATAAATGTTCAGCCTATACTATTCAAACTTCAATCATTAATTTTTATTCTATCTAAAGACCCAGAAGAGAAACAAAAACATGTTATTAAAATAGTATTAAAATGATTTCCTTATTTAACTTTGAAACATAGTTTTAAATATAGTAATTATTTTGATTTTAATAGATCTGTACCCTGCCTTTTATGCAGTGATATCAATTTTTGTGACCAAACAATTTTTGAAGGCCAGCCAAATGGCTAACTGGTCAACAGCCAATGGCTAATAACCAAAGTTCGGTTAAAATTTTCTAATATTTAGCCAATCATATTGCTAGTTTTTACTATATAAATATTTAGCTATTTTGGCCAAATAATTTTTTATGCATTTTGGTCATTTGGCTATAGCCATTAGCTATAGCTATTGGCTAGCCAAATAGCAAATTAACAACACTGCCTTTATGTAATAAAAACTATAAAAAAGAAAATATAAGAAATCATATAGAGGGTTTATAGGGGAGTGTGAATTATATCAAAACAAAATCATATTGGCTTACATGTTGAGAGAATAAATATTAGAATTCAATCCAAATAGTAACTGTAAAAGCATAAATTAATAAGAAAACTAGGTATGATTCTGTTATCTTCACTAATTAATAATCACAAACTACATTATAAAAAATCACATAAAAATCAAAAATAGGAGCCTAGCAGACCCCTCCCTTTATTATTATAAAAAATTATATTGCCAGAACGATAACATAATATACAAATAAAAATATATATATCACTGTTACAGGTACAAAAACAAATAAAAAAAATCTAAATAATTTTTGTTTCTAATACTGGTAATTGTTCTACAAGTATATAAATAATATTTGATCAGGATTAATATTGTAAAGAATATAAAGGTTAGTATGAGGATGTATATATATGTATTCTTCTTAGGTGAGGCAAAATCTAAGAAGTCAGCAAGGTGTACTTGTTGCACTAGATAATAATAGGGACCAAAGGCTTGAACTTGAGTTTCTAATGTTTTAACACTATTTTCATTAAAAACTCTGATTTTAAAAAAATAATATGGTAAACAGAGTGTGACAAGACAATTAAGATCAATATATTTATTAGTCTTAGGATTAGGTTTGTTAGTCTTGGGTAGTGGTATCATTAGTACTGCTCATTTTATATTCCTAAACACAAAAATATAGTAAGTAAAAAATCATTTCATAGACTATTAAATGGCAAAAACATTACTTTTTTAAAAATTTGCAAATGAATTAAGTAAAAAATATGAGCAAAAATAATATTATTGCTAACTTATCTTAAGGTAGGAACTTGCTCATTTTTATACCATTTGGTTTACTAGATCTAAAAAATAAAATACATTAGTAATTACATTACCCAAATCTAACACCAGTTTTTTTCTCTATAAAGCAACTCCGCTTGGTCATAAGTTTCAGATGCTGAATTTATTTTGTTATTTTTTCTGGTAAAATTAACTCCCTTAGATTTGATAATCTCTTCTGCAAAATAAAAAAGTCAACGATCTTGACGATCTGGTAATACCAAGTTCCTGCGATATATAAATTTTGATAAACTACTGATAAAGAATGTTATACTCATTGTCTTTATACCTTTTTTAAGTTACATTCTTATTATGGATCTTATATAATAAAAAAAGCATGGTCTAGTTAATCATAATATTCATTAATAAAAAATCGACTGTGAGAAATTAAGGTAACACCATATAAAGTTTAATACAAGCCATTGATTATTAAAGCTAATAAGTTTTTATTATTATTTTAGCTTTGACCTAGGCCAAAATAAAAGCAGATCTGCAGGACTGTTAAATAATACATACTTATTTTTTTAGTATAAATCAATATTACCAACAACTGTTTAATGGCTATTAATGATAAAAAAATATGATGCTAGATGTTTGATCAACATGTTTTGTTATAATAGCATAAATAAAGAAGTGCATAGTGCTTATTCTAAATTTATTTTATTTTATTTTTTTTTTAGTATTAAGGTGAGGCCTTGCTCATATCTTTATTAGTAACTTTAAAAATAGTAACTACATTAAAGAG